TTTAAGGGAAAAACAGGGATTTCTATGAAAATAAGCGATATTTTAGGGGAAAAACAGGGATTTCTATGAAAATAAGCGATATTTAAAGTGGAAAAACAGGGATTTCTATGAAAATAAGCGATATTTAAGGGTTAAAAACAGGGATTTCTATGAAAATAAGCGATATTTAAGGGGAAAAACAGGGATTTCTATGAAAATAAGCGATATTTAAGGGGAAAAACAGGGATTTCTGTGAAAATAAGCGATATTTTAGGGGAAAAACAGGGATTTCTATGAAAATAAGCGATATTTAAGGGGAAAAACAGGGATTTCTATGAAAATAAGCGATATTTTAGGGGAAAAACAGGGATTTCTGTGAAAATAAGCGATATTTAAGGGGAAAAACAGGGATTTCTGTGAAAATAAGCGATATTTTAGGGGAAAAACAGGGATTTCTATGAAAATAAGCGATATTTAAGGGGAAAAACAGGGATTTCTATGAAAATAAGCGATATTTTAGGGGAAAAACAGGGATTTCTATGAAAATAAGCGATATTTAAGGGAAAAACAGGGATTTCTATGAAAATAAGCGATATTTAAGGGGAAAAACAGGGATTTCTATGAAAATAAGCGATATTTAAGGGGAAATACAGGGATTTCTATGAAAATAAGCGATATTTAAGGGGAAAAACAGGGATTTCTGTGAAAATAAGCGATATTTTTTGGAAAACAGGGATTTCTATGAAAATAAGCGATATTTTAGGGGAAAAACAGGGATTTCTATGAAAATAAGCGATATTTTAGGGGAAAAACAGGGATTTCTGTGAAAATAAGCGATATTTTAGGGGAAAAACAGGGATTTCTGTGAAAATAAGCGATATTTTAGGGGAAAAACAGGGATTTCTATGAAAATAAGCGATATTTAAGGGGAAAAACAGGGATTTCTGTGAAAATAAGCGATATTTAAAGGGAAAAACAGGGATTTCTATGAAAATAAGCGATATTTTAGGGAAAAACAGGGATTTCTATGAAAATAAGCGATATTTTAGGGTTAAAAACAGGGATTTCTATGAAAATAAGCGATATTTTAGGAAAAACAGGGATTTCTGTGAAAATAAGCGATATTTTAGGGGAAAAACAGGGATTTCTATGAAAATAAGCGATATTTTAAGGGGAAAAACAGGGATTTCTGTGAAAATAAGCGATATTTAAGGGGAAAAACAGGGATTTCTATGAAAATAAGCGATATTTAAGGGGAAATACAGGGATTTCTATGAAAATAAGCAATATTTTAGGGGAAAAACAGGGATTTCTGTGAAAATAAGCGATATTTAAGGGGAAAAACAGGGATTTCTATGAAAATAAGCGATATTTTAGTTAAAAACAGGGATTTCTATGAAAATAAGCAATATTTTAGGGGAAAAACAGGGATTTCTATGAAAATAAGCGATATTTTAGGGGAAAAACAGGGATTTCTATGAAAATAAGCGATATTGTGGGGGAAAAACAGGGATTTGTATGAAAATAAGCGATATTTTAGGGGAAAAACAGGGATTTGTGTGAAAATAAGCGATATTTTAGGGGAAAAACAGGGATTTCTATGAAAATAAGCGATATTTTAGGGGAAAAACAGGGATTTCTATGAAAATAAGCGATATTTAAAGGGAAAAACAGGGATTTCTATGAAAATAAGCGATATTTTAAGGGGAAAAACAGGGATTTCTATGAAAATAAGCGATATTTAAGGGGAAAAACAGGGATTTCTGTGAAAATAAGCGATATTTTAAGGGGAAAAACAGGGATTTCTATGAAAATAAGCGATATTTAAGGGGAAAAACAGGGATTTCTGTGAAAATAAGCGATATTTTAGGGGAAAAACAGGGATTTCTATGAAAATAAGCGATATTTAAGGGGAAAAACAGGGATTTCTATGAAAATAAGCGATATTTAAGGGGAAAAACAGGGATTTCTATGAAAATAAGCGATATTTAAGGGGAAAAACAGGGATTTCTATGAAAATAAGCGATATTTTAGGGGAAAAACAGGGATTTCTATGAAAATAAGCGATATTTAAGGGAAAAACAGGGATTTCTATGAAAATAAGCGATATTTAGGGGAAAAACAGGGATTTCTGTGAAAATAAGCGATATTTTAGGGGAAAAACAGGGATTTCTGTGAAAATAAGCGATATTTTAGGGGAAAAACAGGGATTTCTGTGAAAATAAGCGATATTTTAGGGGAAAAACAGGGATTTCTATGAAAATAAGCGATATTGAAGGGGAAAAACAGGGATTTCTGTGAAAATAAGCGATATTTTAGGGGAAAAACAGGGATTTCTATGAAAATAAGCGATATTTATGGTTAAAAACAGGGATTTCTATGAAAATAAGCGATATTTTAGGGGAAAAACAGGGATTTCTATGAAAATAAGCGATATTTAAGGGTTAAAAACAGGGATTTCTATGAAAATAAGCGATATTTAAGGGAAAAACAGGGATTTCTATGAAAATAAGCGATATTTAAGGGAAAAACAGGGATTTCTATGAAAATAAGCGATATTTAAGGGAAAAACAGGGATTTCTATGAAAATAAGCGATATTTTAGGGGAAAAACAGGGATTTCTGTGAAAATAAGCGATATTTAAGGTTAAAAACAGGGATTTCTGTGAAAATAAGCGATATTTTAGGGGAAAAACAGGGATTTCTATGAAAATAAGCGATATTTAAGGGTTAAAAACAGGGATTTCTAGGAAAATAAGCGATATTTAAGGGGAAAAACAGGGATTTCTATGAAAATAAGCGATATTTAAGGGGAAAAACAGGGATTTCTGTGAAAATAAGCAATATTTTAGGGGAAAAACAGGGATTTCTATGAAAATAAGCGATATTTAAGGGGAAAAACAGGGATTTCTGTGAAAATAAGCGATATTTAAAGGGAAAAACAGGGATTTCTATGAAAATAAGCGATATTTAAGGGGAAAAACAGGGATTTCTAGGAAAATAAGCAATATTTTAGGGGAAAAACAGGGATTTCTATGAAAATAAGCGATATTTTAGGGGAAAAACAGGGATTTCTAGGAAAATAAGCGATATTTTAGGGGAAAAACAGGGATTTCTATGAAAATAAGCGATATTTAAGGGTTAAAAACAGGGATTTCTATGAAAATAAGCGATATTTTAGGGGAAAAACAGGGATTTCTATGAAAATAAGCGATATTTAAGTGGGAAAAACAGGGATTTCTGTGAAAATAAGCGATATTTAAGGGTTAAAAACAGGGATTTCTATGAAAATAAGCGATATTTAAGGGGAAAAACAGGGATTTCTATGAAAATAAGCAATATTTAAGGGGAAAAACAGGGATTTCTGTGAAAATAAGCGATATTTAAAGGGAAAAACAGGGATTTCTATGAAAATAAGCGATATTTAAGGGGAAAAACAGGGATTTCTGGAAAATAAGCATATTTTAGGGGAAAAACAGGGATTTCTATGAAAATAAGCGATATTTAAGGGAAAAACAGGGATTTCTGTGAAAATAAGCGATATTTTAGGGGAAAAACAGGGATTTCTATGAAAATAAGCGATATTTAAGGGTTAAAAACGGATTTCTATGAAAATAAGCGATATTTTAGGGGAAAAACAGGGATTTCTATGAAAATAAGCGATATTTAAGGGAAAAACAGGGATTTCTGTGAAAATAAGCGATATTTAAGGGGAAAAACAGGGATTTCTATGAAAATAAGCGATATTTTAGGGGAAAAACAGGGATTTCTATGAAAATAAGCGATATTTTAGGGGAAAAACAGGGATTTCTATGAAAATAAGCGATATTTTAGGAAAAACAGGGATTTCTATGAAAATAAGCGATATTTTAGGGGAAAAACAGGGATTTCTAGGAAAATAAGCGATATTTTAGGGGAAAAACAGGGATTTCTGTGAAAATAAGCGATATTTTAGGGGAAAAACAGGGATTTCTGTGAAAATAAGCGATATTTTAGGGGAAAAACAGGGATTTCTATGAAAATAAGCGATATTTAAGGTTTAAAAACAGGGATTTCTGTGAAAATAAGCGATATTTAAGGTTAAAAACAGGGATTTCTATGAAAATAAGCGATATTTAAGGGGAAAAACAGGGATTTCTGTGAAAATAAGCGATATTTAAAGGGAAAAACAGGGATTTCTAGTAAAATAAGCGATATTTTAGGGAAAAACAGGGATTTCTAGGAAAATAAGCGATATTTAATGCGAAAAACAGGGATTTCTATGAAAATAAGCAATATTTAAGGGAAAAACAGGGATTTCTATGAAAATAAGCGATATTTAAGGGGAAAAACAGGGATTTCTGTGAAAATAAGCGATATTTAAGGGGAAAAACAGGGATTTCTATGAAAATAAGCGATATTTAAGGGGAAAAACAGGGATTTCTATGAAAATAAGCGATATTTTAGGGGAAAAACAGGGATTTCTGTGAAAATAAGCGATATTTTAGGGGAAAAACAGGGATTTCTATGAAAATAAGCGATATTTTAGGGGAAAAACAGGGATTTCTGTGAAAATGAGCGATATTTTAGGGGAAAAACAGGGATTTCTATGAAAATAAGCGATATTTTCGGGGAAAAACAGGGATTTCTAGGAAAATAAGCAATATTTTAGGGGAAAAACAGGGATTTCTGTGAAAATAAGCGATATTTTAGGGGAAAAACAGGGATTTCTGTGAAAATAAGCAATATTTTAGGGGAAAAACAGGGATTTCTATGAAAATAAGCGATATTTAAGGGGAAAAACAGGGATTTCTGTGAAAATAAGCGATATTTTAAGGGGAAAAATAGGGATTTCTATGAAAATAAGCGATATTTATGGTTAAAAACAGGGATTTCTATGAAAATAAGCGATATTTAAGGTTTAAAAACAGGGATTTCTCTGAAAATAAGCGATATTTTAGGGGAAAAACAGGGATTTCTATGAAAATAAGCGATATTTAAGGGTTAAAACAGGGATTTCTATGAAAATAAGCAATATTTAAGGGAAAAACAGGGATTTCTATGAAAATAAGCGATATTTAAGGTTAAAAACAGGGATTTCTATGAAAATAAGCGATATTTAAGGGTAGAAACAGGGATTTCTGTGAAAATAAGCGATATTTAAGGTTAAAAACAGGGATTTCTATGAAAATAAGCGATATTTTAGGGGAAAAACAGGGATTTCTATGAAAATAAGCGATATTTTAAGGGTTAAAAACAGGGATTTCTATGAAAATAAGCGATATTTATGGGGAAAAACAGGGATTTCTATGAAAATAAGCGATATTTAAGGGAAAAACAGGGATTTCTGTGAAAATAAGCGATATTTTAGGGGAAAAACAGGGATTTCTATGAAAATAAGCGATATTTAAGGGGAAAAACAGGGATTTCTGTGAAAATAAGCGATATTTTAGGGGAAAAACAGGGATTTCTATGAAAATAAGCGATATTTTAGGGGAAAAACAGGGATTTCTATGAAAATAAGCAATATTTAAGGGAAAAACAGGGATTTCTATGAAAATAAGCGATATTTTAGGGGAAAAACAGGGATTTCTAGGAAAATAAGCGATATTTTAGGGGAAAAACAGGGATTTCTATGAAAATAAGCGATATTTTGGGGGAAAAACAGGGATTTCTATGAAAATAAGCGATATTTTTTGGGAAAAACAGGGATTTCTATGAAAATAAGCGATATTTAAGTGGAAAAACAGGGATTTCTATGAAAATAAGCGATATTTAAGGGTTAAAAACAGGGATTTCTATGAAAATAAGCGATATTTAAGGGGAAAAACAGGGATTTCTATGAAAATAAGCAATATTTAAGGGGAAAAACAGGGATTTCTGTGAAAATAAGCGATATTTTTTGGAAAAACAGGGATTTCTAGTGAAAATAAGCGATATTTAAGGGGAAAAACAGGGATTTCTAGGAAAATAAGCGATATTTTAGGGGAAAAACAGGGATTTCTGTGAAAATAAGCAATATTTTAGGGTAGAAACAGGGATTTCTGTGAAAATAAGCGATATTTAAGGTTAAAAACAGGGATTTCTATGAAAATAAGCGATATTTTAGGGGAAAAACAGGGATTTCTATGAAAATAAGCGATATTTAAGGGGAAAAACAGGGATTTCTATGAAAATAAGCGATATTTAAGGCGAAAAACTGGGATTTCTAGGAAAATAAGCAATATTTTAGGGGAAAAACAGGGATTTCTATGAAAATAAGCGACATTTTAGGGGAAAAACAGGGATTTCTAGGAAAATAAGCGATATTTTAGGGGAAAAACAGGGATTTCTATGAAAATAAGCGATATTTAAGGGTTAAAAACAGGGGTTTCTATGAAAATAAGCGATATTTTAGGGGAAAAACAGGGATTTCTATGAAAATAAGCGATATTTAAAGGGAAAAACAGGGATTTCTGTGAAAATAAGCGATATTTAAGGGTTAAAAACAGGGATTTCTAGGAAAATAAGCAATATTTAAGGGGAAATACAGGGATTTCTATGAAAATAAGCAATATTTAAGGGGAAAAACAGGGATTTCTGTGAAAATAAGCGATATTTTAGGGGAAAAACAGGGATTTCTATGAAAATAAGCGATATTTAAGGGGAAAAACAGGCATTTCAAGGAAAATAAGCAATATTTTAGGGGAAAAACAGGGATTTCTATGAAAATAAGCGACATTTTAGGGGAAAAACAGGGATTTCTGTGAAAATAAGCGATATTTTAGGGGAAAAACAGGGATTTCTATGAAAATAAGCGATATTTAAGGGTTAAAAACAGGGATTTCTATGAAAATAAGCGATATTTTAGGGGAAAAACAGGGATTTCTATGAAAATAAGCGATATTTAAAGTGGAAAAACAGGGATTTCTGTGAAAATAAGCGATATTTAAGGGGAAAAACAGGGATTTCTATGAAAATAAGCAATATTTAAGGGGAAATACAGGGATTTCTATGAAAATAAGCAATATTTAAGGGGAAAAACAGGGATTTCTATGAAAATAAGCGATATTTTTTGGCAAAAACAGGGATTTCTAGTAAAATATGCGATATTTTAGGGGAAAAACAGGGATTTCTAGGAAAATAAGCAATATTTTAGGGGATGAACAGGGATTTCTGTGAAAATAAGCAATATTTTAGGGGAAAAACAGGGATTTCTGTGAAAATAAGCGATATTTTAGGGGAAAAACAGGGATTTCTATGAAAATAAGCGATATTTAAGGTTTAAAAACAGGGATTTCTGTGAAAATAAGCGATATTTAAGGGGAAAAAACAGGGATTTCTATGAAAATAAGCGATATTTAAGGGGAAAAACAGGGATTTCTGTGAAAATAAGCGATATTTAAAGGGAAAAACAGGGATTTCTAGTAAAATATGCGATATTTTAGGGGAAAAACAGGGATTTCTAGGAAAATAAGCCATATTTAATGCGAAAAACAGGGATTTCTATGAAAATAAGCAATATTTAAGGGAAATACAGGGATTTCTATGAAAATAAGCGATATTTAAGGGGAAAAACAGGGATTTCTGTGAAAATAAGCGATATTTAAGGGGAAAAACAGGGATTTCTATGAAAATAAGCGATATTTAAGGGGAAAAACAGGGATTTCTATGAAAATAAGCGATATTTTAGGGGAAAAACAGGGATTTCTGTGAAAATAAGCAATATTTTAGGGGAAAAACAGGGATTTCTGTGAAAATAAGCGATATTTAAGGCGAAAAACTGGGATTTCTGTGAAAATGAGCGATATTTTAGGGGAAAAACAGGGATTTCTATGAAAATAAGCAATATTTTTGGGGAAAAACAGGGATTTCTAGGAAAATAAGCAATATTTTAGGGGAAAAACAGGGATTTCTGTGAAAAAAAGCGATATTTTAGGGGAAAAACAGGGATTTCTGTGAAAATGAGCGATATTTTAGGGGAAAAACAGGGATTTCTATGAAAATAAGCGATATTTAAGGGGAAAAACAGGGATTTCTGTGAAAATAAGAGACATTTAAGGGGAAAAATAGAGATTTCTATGAAAATAAGTGATATTTATGGTTTAAAAACAGGGATTTCTATGAAAATAAGCGATATTTAAGGTTTAAAAACAGGGATTTCTCTGAAATTAAGCGATATTTTAGGGGAAAAAACAGGGATTTCTATGAAAATAAGCGATATTTAAGGGTTAAAATCAGGGATTTCTATGAAAATAAGCAATATTTAAGGGAAAAACAGGGATTTCTATGAAAATAAGCGATATTTAAGGTTTAAAAACAGGGATTTCTATGAAAATAACCGATATTTAAGGGTAGAAACAGGGATTTCTGTGAAAATAAGCGATATTTAAGGTTTAAAAACAGGGATTTCTATGAAAATAAGCGATATTTTAGGGGAAAAACAGGGATTTCTATGAAAATAACCGATATTTAAGGGTTAAAAACAGGGATTTCTATGAAAATAAGCGATATTTAAGGGGAAAAACAGGGATTTCTATGAAAATAAGCGATATTTAAGGCGAAAAACTGGGATTTCTGTGAAAATAAGCAATATTTTAGGGGAAAAACAGGGATTTCTATGAAAATAAGCAATATTTAAGGGGAAAAACGGGGATTTCTGTGAAAATAAGCGATATTTAAGGGGAAAAACAGGGATTTCTATGAAAATAAGCGATATTTAAGGGGAAAAACAGGGATTTCTAGGAAAATAAGCAATATTTTAGGGGAAAAACAGGGATTTCTATGAAAATAAGCGACATTTTAGGGGAAAAACAGGGATTTCTAGGAAAATAAGCGATATTTTAGGGGAAAAACAGGGATTTCTGTGAAAATAAGCGATATTTAAGGGTTAAAAACAGGGGTTTCTATGAAAATAAGCGATATTTTTTGGGAAAAACAGGGATTTCTATGAAAATAAGCGATATTTAAAGTGGAAAAACAGGGATTTCTGTGAAAATAAGCGATATTTAAGGGGAAAAACAGGGATTTCTATGAAAATAAGCAATATTTAAGGGGAAATACAGGGATTTCTATGAAAATAAGCAATATTTAAGGGGAAAAACGGGGATTTCTGTGAAAATAAGCGATATTTTTTGGCAAAAACAGGGATTTCTAGTAAAATATGCGATATTTTAGGGGAAAAACAGGGATTTCTAGGAAAATAAGCAATATTTTAGGGGATGAACAGGGATTTCTATGAAAATAACCGATATTTAAGGGTAGAAACAGGGATTTCTGTGAAAATAAGCGATATTTAAGGTTTAAAAACAGGGATTTCTATGAAAATAAGCGATATTTTAGGGGAAAAACAGGGATTTCTATGAAAATAAGCGATATTTAAGGGTTAAAAACAGGGATTTCTATGAAAATAAGCGATATTTAAGGGGAAAAACAGGGATTTCTATGAAAATAAGCGATATTTAAGGCGAAAAACTGGGATTTCTGTGAAAATAAGCAATATTTTAGGGGAAAAACAGGGATTTCTATGAAAATAAGCAATATTTAAGGGGAAAAACGGGGATTTCTGTGAAAATAAGCGATATTTAAAGGGAAAAACAGGGATTTCTATGAAAATAAGCGATATTTAAGGGGAAAAACAGGGATTTCTATGAAAATAAGCAATATTTTAGGGGAAAAACAGGGATTTCTGTGAAAATAAGCGATATTTAAGGTTTAAAAACAGGGATTTCTATGAAAATAAGCGATATTTTAGGGGAAAAACAGGGATTTCTATGAAAATAAGCGATATTTAAGGGTTAAAAACAGGGATTTCTATGAAAATAAGCGATATTTAAGGGGAAAAACAGGGATTTCTATGAAAATAAGCGATATTTTAGGGGAAAAACAGGGATTTCTGTGAAAATAAGCGATATTTTAGGGGAAAAACAGGGATTTCTATGAAAATAAGCGATATTTAAGGGGAAAAACAGGGATTTCTATGAAAATAAGCGATATTTTAAGGGGAAAAACAGGGATTTCTGTGAAAATAAGCGATATTTTTTGGTTAAAAACAGGGATTTCTATGAAAATAAGCGATATTTTAGGGGAAAAACAGGGATTTCTATGAAAATAAGCAATATTTTAGGGGAAAAACAGGGATTTCTGTGAAAATAAGCGATATTTAGGGTTAAAAACAGGGATTTCTGTGAAAATAAGCAATATTTTAGGGGAAAAACAGGGATTTCTATGAAAATAAGCGATATTTAAGGGGAAAAACAGGGATTTCTGTGAAAATAAGCGATATTTAAGGGGAAAAAACAGGGATTTCTATGAAAATAAGCGATATTTAAGGGGAAAAACAGGGATTTCTGTGAAAATAAGCGATATTTAAAGGGAAAAACAGGGATTTCTAGTAAAATAAGCGATATTTTAGGGGAAAAACAGGGATTTCTGTGAAAATAAGCGATATTTTAGGGGAAAAACAGGGATTTCTGTGAAAATAAGCGATATTTAGGGTTAAAAACAGGGATTTCTATGAAAATAAGCGATATTTAAGGGGAAAAACAGGGATTTCTATGAAAATAAGCGATATTTATGGTTTAAAAACAGGGATTTCTGTGAAAATAAGCGATATTTTAGGGGAAAAACAGGGATTTCTATGAAAATAAGCGATATTTAAGGGTTAAAAACAGGGATTTCTATGAAAATAAGCGATATTTAAGGGGAAAAACAGGGATTTCTATGAAAATAAGCGATATTTAAGGTTTAAAAACAGGGATTTCTATGAAAATAAGCGATATTTTAGGGGAAAAACAGGGATTTCTGTGAAAATAAGCAATATTTTAAGGTTTAAAAACAGGGATTTGTAGGAAAATAAGCGATATTTTAGGGGAAAAACAGGGATTTCTATGAAAATAAGCGATATTTAAGGGAAAAACAGGGATTTCTATGAAAATAAGCGATATTTAAGGGGAAAAACAGGGATTTCTGTGAAAATAAGCGATATTTTAAGGGGAAAAACAGGGATTTCTATGAAAATAAGCGATATTTAAGGGGAAAAACAGGGATTTCTGTGAAAATAAGCGATATTTAAGGGAAAAACAGGGATTTCTATGAAAATAAGCGATATTTAAGGGGAAAAACAGGGATTTCTATGAAAATAAGCGATATTTAAGGGGAAAAACAGGGATTTCTAGGAAAATAAGCAATATTTAAGGGAAAAACAGGGATTTCTATGAAAATAAGCGATATTTAAGGGGAAAAACAGGGATTTCTGTGAAAATAAGCGATATTTTAGGGGAAAAACAGGGATTTCTATGAAAATAAGCGATATTTAAGGGTTAAAAACAGGGGTTTCTATGAAAATAAGCGATATTTTAGGGGAAAAACAGGGATTTCTATGAAAATAAGCAATATTTAAGGGGAAATACAGGGATTTCTGTGAAAATAAGCGATATTTAAGGGGAAAAACAGGGATTTCTGTGAAAATAAGCGATATTTAAAGGGAAAAACAGGGATTTCTAGTAAAATATGCGATATTTAAGGGGAAAAACAGGGATTTCTAGGAAAATAAGCAATATTTTAGGGGAAAAACAGGGATTTCTGTGAAAATAAGCGATATTTTAGGGGAAAAACAGGGATTTCTGTGAAAATAAGCGATATTTTAGGGGAAAAACAGGGATTTCTATGAAAATAAGCGATATTTAAGGTTTAAAAACAGGGATTTCTGTGAAAATAAGCGATATTTTAGGGGAAAAAACAGGGATTTCTATGAAAATAAGCGATATTTAAAGTGGAAAAACAGGGATTTCTATGAAAATAAGCGATATTTTAGGGGAAAAACAGGGATTTCTCGGAAAATAATCGATATTTAAGGGGAAAAACAGGGATTTCTGTGAAAATAAGCGATATTTTGGGGGAAAAACAGGGATATCTGTGAAAATAAGCGATATTTAAGGGGAAAAACAGGGATTTCTATGAAAATAAGCGATATTTAAGGGTTAAAAACAGGGATTTCTATGAAAATAAGCGATATTTAAGTGGAAAAACAGGGATTTCTGTGAAAATAAGCGATATTTAAGGGTTAAAAACAGGGATTTCTATGAAAATAAGCGATATTTTAGGGGATGAACAGGGATTTCTATTAAATATGCGATATTTTAGGGGAAAAACAGGGATTTCTATGAAAATAAGCGATATTTTTTGGGAAAAACAGGGATTTCTGTGAAAATAAGCAATATTTAAGGCGAAAAACAGGGATTTCTATGAAAATAAGCGATATTTTAGGGGAAAAACAGGGATTTCTATGAAAATAAGCAATATTTAAGGGGAAAAACAGGGATTTCTATGAAAATAAGCGATATTTAAGGGGAAAAACAGGGATTTCTGTGAAAATAAGCGATATTTTAGGGGAAAAACAGGGATTTCTAGGAAAATAAGCGATATTTTAGGGGAAAAACAGGGATTTCTATGAAAATAAGCGATATTTAAGGGGAAAAACAGGGATTTCTATGAAAATATGCGATATTTTAGGGGAAAAACAGGGATTTCTAGGAAAATAAGCAATATTTTAGGGGAATAACAGGGATTTCTGTGAAAAGAAGCGATATTTTAGGGGAAAAACAGGGATTTCTATGAAAATAAGCGATATTTTAGGGGAAAAACAGGGATTTCTATGAAAATAAGCGATATTTTAGTGGAAAAACAGGGATTTCTATGAAAATAAGCGATATTTTAGGGGAAAAACAGGGATTTCTGTGAAAATAAGCGATATTTTAGGGGAAAAACAGGGATTTCTGTGAAAATGAGCGATATTTTAGGGGAAAAACAGGGATTTCTGTGAAAATAAGCGATATTTAAGGGGAAAAACAGGGATTTCTGTGAAAATAAGCAGACATTTTAGGGGAAAAATAGGGATTTCTATGAAAATAAGTGATATTTATGGTTTAAAAACAGGGATTTCTATGAAAATAAGCGATATTTAAGGTTTAAAAACAGGGATTTCTCTGAAAATAAGCGATATTTTAGGGGAAAAACAGGGATTTCTATGAAAATAAGCGATATTTAAGTTTAAAAACAGGGATTTCTGTGAAAATAAGCGATATTTTAGGGGAAAAATAGGGATTTCTATGAAAATAAGCGATATTTCTTGGGAAAAACAGGGATTTCTGTGAAAATAAGCGATATTTTAGGGGAAAAACAGGGATTTCTAGGAAAATAAGCAATATTTTAGGGGAAAAACAGGGGATTTCTGTGAAAATAAGCGATATTTAAAGGGAAAAACAGGGATTTCTATGAAAATAAGCGATATTTAAGGGGAAAAACAGGGATTTCTATGAAAATAAGCTATTTTTTGGGGGGAAAAACAGGGATTTCTATGAAAATAAGCGACATTTTAGGAGAAAAACAGGGATTTCTGTGAAAATAAGCGATATTTTAGGGGAAAAACAGGGATTTCTATGAAAATAAGCGATATTTAAGGGTTAAAAACAGGGATTTCTGTGAAAATAAGCGATATTTTAGGGGAAAAACAGGGATTTCTATGAAAATAAGCGATATTTCTTGGGAAAAACAGGGATTTCTGTGAAAATAAGCGATATTTTAGGGGAAAAACAGGGATTTCTATGAAAATAAGCAATATTTTAGGGGAAAAACAGGGATTTCTATGAAAATAAGCGATATTTAAGGTTTAAAAACAGGGATTTCTGTGAAAATAAGCGATATTTAAAGGGAAAAACAGGGATTCCTAGTAAAATATGCGATATTTTAGAGGAAAAACAGGGATTTCTGTGAAAATAAGCGATATTTAAAGGGAAAAACAGGGATTTCTATGAAAATAAGCGATATTTAAGGGGAAAAACAGGGATTTCTAGGAAAATAAGCAATATTTTAGGCGAAAAACAGGGATTTCTATGAAAATAAGCGACATTTTAGGGGAAAAACAGGGATTTCTGTGAAAATAAGCGATATTTAAGGGGAAAAAACAGGGATTTCTATGAAAATAAGCGATATTTAAAGTGGAAAAACAGGGATTTCTATGAAAATAAGCGATATTTAAGGGGAAAAACAGGGATTTCTGTGAAAATAAGCGATATTTAAGGGGAAAAACAGGGATTTCTATGAAAATAAGCGATATTTTAGGGGAAAAACAGGGATTTCTGTGAAAATAAGCGATATTTTTGGGGAAAAACAGGGATTTCTGTGAAAATAAGCGATATTTTATGGGAAAAACAGGGATTTCTGTGAAAATAAGCGATATTTTAGGGGATAAACAGGGATTTCTGTGAAAATAAGCGATATTTAAGGTTTAAAAACAGGGATTTGTAGGAAAATAAGCGATATTTTAGGGGAAAAACAGGGATTTCTATGAAAATAAGCAATATTTTAGGGGAAAAACAGGGATTTCTGTGAAAATAAGCGATATTTAAACGGAAAAACAGGGATTTCTGTGAAAATAAGCGATATTTCAGTTCAAAAACAATGATTTCTATGAAAATAAGCGATATTTAAAGTGGAAAAACAGGGATTTCTATGAAAATAAGCGATATTTTAGGGTAGAAACAGGGATTTCTATGAAAATAAGCGATATTTAAGGTTTATAAACTGGGATTTCTAGGAAAATAAGCGATATTTTAGGGGAAAAACAGGGATTTCTATGAAAATAACCGATATTTAAGGGTTAAAAACAGGGATTTCTATGAAAATAAGCGATATTTAAGGTTAAAAACAGGGATTTCTATGAAAATAAGCGATATTTAAAGTGGAAAAACAGGGATTTCTGTGAAAATAAGCGATATTTAAAGGGAAAAACAGGGATTTCTAGTAAAATAATGCGACATTTTAGGGGATGAACAGGGATTTATATTAAATTATTTGATATTTTAGGGGAAAAACAGGGATTTCTGTGAAAATAAGCGATATTTTAGGGGAAAAACAGGGATTTCTGTGAAAATAAGCGATATTTTAGGGGAAAAACAGGGATTTCTAGGAAAATAAGCGATATTTAAGGGGAAAAACAGGGATTTCTATGAAAATAAGCGATATTTTAGGGGAAAAACAGGGATTTCTGTGAAAATAAGCGATATTTAAAGGGAAAAACAGGGATTTCTATGAAAATAAGCGCTATTTAAGGTTTAAAAACAGGGATTTCTAGGAAAATAAGTGACATTTTAGGGTTAAAAACAGGGATTTCTATGAAAATAAGCGATATTTTAGGTTAAAAACAGGGATTTCTATTAAAATAAGCGATATTTCAGGTTAAAAACAATGATTTCTATGAAAATAACAGATATTTAAAGTGGAAAAACAGGGATTTCTGTGAAAATAAGCGATATTTAAGGTTTAAAAACAGGGATTTCTAGGAAAATAAGCGATATTTAAGGGGAAAAACAGGGATTTCTGTGAAAATAAGCAATATTTAAGGTTTAAAAACAGGGATTTCTATGAAAATAACCGATATTTAAGGGTAGAAACAGGGATTTCTGTGAAAATAAGCGATATTTAAGGTTTAAAAACAGGGATTTCTATGAAAATAAGCGATATTTTAGGGGAAAAACAGGGATTTCTATGAAAATAACCGATATTTAAGGGTTAAAAACAGGGATTTCTATGAAAATAAGCGATATTTAAGGGGAAAAACAGGGATTTCTATGAAAATAAGCGATATTTAAGGCGAAAAACTGGGATTTCTGTGAAAATAAGCAATATTTTAGGGGAAAAACAGGGATTTCTATGAAAATAAGCAATATTTAAGGGGAAAAACGGGGATTTCTGTGAAAATAAGCGATATTTAAGGGGAAAAACAGGGATTTCTATGAAAATAAGCGATATTTAAGGGGAAAAACAGGGATTTCTAGGAAAATAAGCAATATTTTAGGGGAAAAACAGGGATTTCTATGAAAATAAGCGACATTTTAGGGGAAAAACAGGGATTTCTAGGAAAATAAGCGATATTTTAGGGGAAAAACAGGGATTTCTGTGAAAATAAGCGATATTTAAGGGTTAAAAACAGGGGTTTCTATGAAAATAAGCGATATTTTTTGGGAAAAACAGGGATTTCTATGAAAATAAGCGATATTTAAAGTGGAAAAACAGGGATTTCTGTGAAAATAAGCGATATTTAAGGGGAAAAACAGGGATTTCTATGAAAATAAGCAATATTTAAGGGGAAATACAGGGATTTCTATGAAAATAAGCAATATTTAAGGGGAAAAACGGGGATTTCTGTGAAAATAATCGATATTTTTTGGCAAAAACAGGGATTTCTAGTAAAATATGCGATATTTTAGGGGAAAAACAGGGATTTCTAGGAAAATAAGCAATATTTTAGGGGATGAACAGGGATTTCTATGAAAATAACCGATATTTAAGGGTAGAAACAGGGATTTCTGTGAAAATAAGCGATATTTAAGGTTTAAAAACAGGGATTTCTATGAAAATAAGCGATATTTTAGGGGAAAAACATGGATTTCTATGAAAATAAGCGATATTTAAGGGTTAAAAACAGGGATTTCTATGAAAATAAGCGATATTTAAGGGGAAAAACAGGGATTTCTATGAAAATAAGCGATATTTAAGGCGAAAAACTGGGATTTCTGTGAAAATAAGCAATATTTTAGGGGAAAAACAGGGATTTCTATGAAAATAAGCAATATTTAAGGGGAAAAACGGGGATTTCTGTGAAAATAAGCGATATTTAAAGGGAAAAACAGGGATTTCTATGAAAATAAGCGATATTTAAGGGGAAAAACAGGGATTTCTAGGAAAATAAGCAATATTTTAGGGGAAAAACAGGGATTTCTGTGAAAATAAGCGACATTTTAGGGGAAAAACAGGGATTTCTAGGAAAATAAGCGATATTTTATGGGAAAAACAGGGATTTCTATGAAAATAAGCGATATTTAAGGGTTAAAAACAGGGGTTTCTATGAAAATAAGCGATATTTAAGGGGAAAAACAGGGATTTCTATGAAAATAAGCGATATTTTAGGGGAAAAACAGGGATTTCTGTGAAAATAAGCGATATTTAAGGGGAAAAACAGGGATTTCTATGAAAATAAGCAATATTTAAGGGGAAATACAGGGATTTCTATGAAAATAAGCAATATTTAAGGGGAAAAACAGGGATTTCTGTGAAAATAAGCGATATTTTTTGGCAAAAACAGGGATTTCTAGTAAAATATGCGATATTTTAGGGGAAAAACAGGGATTTCTAGGAAAATAAGCAATATTTTAGGGGATGAACAGGGATTTCTGTGAAAATAAGCGATATTTTAGGGGAAAAACAGGTATTTCTGTGAAAATCAGCGATATTTTAGGGGAAAAACAGGGATTTCTATGAAAATAAGCGATATTTAAGGTTTAAAAACAGGGATTTCTGTGAAAATAAGCGATATTTAAGGGGAAAAAACAGGGATTTCTATGAAAATAAGCGATATTTAAGGGGAAAAACAGGGATTTCTGTGAAAATAAGCGATATTTAAAGGGAAAAAATGGGATTTCTAGTAAAATATGCGATATTTTAGGGGAAAAACAGGGATTTCTAGGAAAATAAGCAATATTTTAGGGGAAAAACAGGGATTTCTGTGAAAATGAGCGATATTTTAGGGGAAAAACAGGGATTTCTATGAAAATAAGCGATATTTAAGGGGAAAAATAGGGATTTCTATGAAAATAAGTGATATTTATGGTTTAAAAACAGGGATTTCTGTGAAAATATGCGATATTTTAGGGGAAAAACAGGGATTTCTATGAAAATAAGCGATATTTAAGGGTTAAAAACAGGGGTTTCTATGAAAATAAGCGATATTTAAGGGAAAAACAGGGTTTTCTATGAAAATAAGCGATATTTAAGGTTTAAAAACAGGGATTTCTATGAAAAAAAGCGATATTTAAGGGTAGAAACAGGGATTTCTGTGAAAATAAGCGATATTTAAGGTTTAAAAACAGGGATTTGTAGGAAAATAAGCGATATTTTAGGGGAAAAACAGGGATTTCTATGAAAATAAGCGATATTTAAGGGTTAAAAACAGGGATTTCTATGAAAATAAGCGATATTTAAGGGGAAAAACAGGGATTTCTATGAAAATAAGCGATATTTAAGGCGAAAAACAGGGATTTCTGTGAAAATAAGCGATATTTTAGGGGAAAAACAGGGATTTCTATGAAAATAAGCAATATTTAAGGGGAAAAACAGGGATTTCTGTGAAAATAAGCGATATTTAAAGGGAAAAACAGGGATTTCTATGAAAATAAGCGATATTTAAGGGGAAAAACAGGGATTTCTAGGAAAATAAGCGATATTTAAGGCGAAAAACAGGGATTTCTATGAAAATAAGCGACATTTTAGGGGAAAAACAGGGATTTCTGTGAAAATAAGCGATATTTTAGGGGAAAAACAGGGATTTCTATGAAAATAAGCGATATTTAAGTGTTAAAAACAGGGGTTTCTATGAAAATAAGCGATATTTTAGGGGAAAAACAGGGATTTCTATGAAAATAAGCAATATTTAAGGGGAAATACAGGGATTTGTATGAAAATAAGCGATATTTAAGGGGAAAAACAGGGATTTCTGTGAAAATAAGCGATATTTAAAGGGAAAAACAGGGATTTCTAGTAAAATATGCGATATTTAAGGGGAAAAACAGGGATTTCTAGGAAAATAAGCAATATTTTAGGGGAAAAACAGGGATTTCTGTGAAAATAAGCGATATTTTAGGGAAAAACAGGGATTTCTGTGAAAATAAGCGATATTTTTTGGGAAAAACAGGGATTTCTATGAAAATAAGCGATATTTAAGGTTTAAAAACAGGGATTTCTGTGAAAATAAGCGATATTTTAGGGGAAAAAACAGGGATTTCTATGAAAATAAGCGATATTTAAAGTGGAAAAACAGGGATTTCTATGAAAATAAGCGATATTTTAGGGGAAAAACAGGGATTTCTCGGAAAATAATCGATATTTAAGGGGAAAAACAGGGATTTCTGTGAAAATAAGCGATATTTTGGGGGAAAAACAGGGATATCTGTGAAAATAAGCGATATTTAAGGGGAAAAACAGGGAGTTCTATGAAAATAAGCGATATTTAAGGGTTAAAAACAGGGATTTCTATGAAAATAAGCGATATTTAAGTGGAAAAACAGGGATTTCTGTGAAAATAAGCGATATTTAAGGGTTAAAAACAGGGATTTCTATGAAAATAAGCGATATTTTAGGGGATGAACAGGGATTTCTATTAAATTATGCGATATTTTAGGGGAAAAACAGGGATTTCTATGAAAATAAGCGATATTTTTTGGGAAAAACAGGGATTTCTGTGAAAATAAGCGATATTTAAGGCGAAAAACAGGGATTTCTATGAAAATAAGCGATATTTTAGGGGAAAAACAGGGATTTCTATGAAAATAAGCAATATTTAAGGGGAAAAACAGGGATTTCTATGAAAATAAGCGATATTTAAGGGGAAAAACAGGGATTTCTGTGAAAATAAGCGATATTTTAGGGGAAAAACAGGGATTTCTAGGAAAATAAGCGATATTTTAGGGGAAAAACAGGGATTTCTATGAAAATAAGCGATATTTAAGGGGAAAAACAGGGATTTCTATGAAAATATGCGATATTTTAGGGGAAAAACAGGGATTTCTAGGAAAATAAGCAATATTTTAGGGGAATAACAGGGATTTCTGTGAAAAGAAGCGATATTTTAGGGGAAAAACAGGGATTTCTGTGAAAATGAGCGATATTTTAGGGGAAAAACAGGGA